GGAAACATGGAAAATATATTTTTTAATGCTTTTATTATATTTCAAACAACCAACGCGAGCATAATATTTTTTCAGTTTTTTCTTCACATCTAGCAATTTAGAAATAAAACATTTTTTCCGTGACTTCATAGCGCTATTAAAACCGAGGCGTTTGTTTGGGAGAATTCGAGAGCAGATCAGTGAAAGCACCACGAGACCGCAGGTAGGTAGCTAGCAACGAAATTTGTGGTGCTTTCGCTGACTGAAAACATAAGCGTCTTTGATTTGAATCTAACTTAAAGMTTTATGTTACTTTTCCTTTCAGAAGTGTTATCCAAAATATATYTAGATGGGATTTTTGAAAGACAGTGCAGAAAAACACTTTCTGGAAGACTTTGTTTTAACGCTTTAATCGATCTGAACCGCTTCGACGTGCAACAGGAAGCCCAAGCACTGGACTTGGCAGGCTTTCAATAAGAAAATGAAAAGTTCAATAAATGTGGTAAAACTCAATAAAAAAATTATTTCAAACTAGAACATAGTGTTCTTCCTATTTTTCTTGACAACCTTGAGAAGTTTCAGCTCATTGTGGTAAAATTATATAATAATATAATATATTAAATACCGTCTGAGTGTCAGGGTTTGTTTTTCTTTTACTCTCAATGTGGATATATAAAAAAAAGTTAAACCAGAAGGGTGTTTGAGTACTCATGGATACAATCATACCGTCTGAGTGTCAGGGTTCGTTTTTCTTTTACTCTCAATATGGATATATAAAAAAAAGTTAAACCAGAAGGGTCTTTGAGTACTTATGTATACAATCATGTGCTAAAAATAGTATGGTTATCCTACTGAGCAACACGAAGCAAAAATTGTTTTTCTTGCCTTTTCCAGATGAAGACGATGTCAGCCCACTTAAAATGTGTTTAAATAAGCTATCTATCGTATCTTTCTGGAAAAACCTTCAAATTTAAGTTGTCATTTTGTAGAGCAACAAACATTAAGTTTACTAAGCACCAATGCATTGCGGTCTTGGGATGCGCAGTGCAGTACAAAGTATTCAAAGTTTTCTTAAATAGCTTATGCTTTAATCATGAAATTTCAGATGACTAGGAAAACTTTTCATTATTCTRAAATTATAAAAGTCACTTGCATAGATAATTCAAAATTTAAATGCTATTTTTCCCCATGTTATTGATACATTCTTAACAAGAAGTTCAGTTGACCGACAATAAKTCATAATAATATTTTTGAGTACTTCTTGTAGCATTGACAACAAAAAGGTTGCAGTCATGTGACTGTTCCTCAAGAGCCAATAATATTCCACTAAAATAGTGATAGGTACAATATAGGTTAGTTATTATGGAACATATTGGGAGTTGACTTCAAGCAACCACGAGTTGGAGTAACAAACAATTTCACCATTTGTCAAAGGTAACTCTCGATAACAATAGTTCTTGTCTGTGTAAAGTCGCAGTAGCTTTTTGCGAATTTATGCTTCCTGTTAAATTCCGTACGAACAAAAAATAGACCAGAACTCTTAGTAAAAGTTTAATTTTCAATGTAAAGAGGGTACATTTCAAATTAGAATAAATGGCATTTTGGAATTTCTTTAATGGAAAATACTTCGGGCATATGTTAGCTGTAATGRAAAAGAAAAGTATCTGAAAATTACAACATTTCAGTGAGTGAATATACGCGCGTAACACGACTCCAGAATGCGAAAGTTAAGCTCAAACAACGGATATCTTAGAGAACCTTCTTTGATATTCGTGCAGTTCATTTGAACAATTTTGCTGTTTATTGTACGTAGTCTTAAACATTATTTTCACTGTGAATCCTCTTGCTTCAAAATCTGTTTTAAAAATCCATAGCCTCAATGGCAACTAAAATTYTATCCAGAAAATTAGATTTTTTCTGTGTTGTCATTCTCTTTTAGAAACTCAAGGGATTTTTGGGTGACACGAGAAAGGTTTTGAATCACGACCTRAAAGTTTCATACAAGGAAACACGGTTTTAAGCACATTTCAACCAAACAATGCGCGCTTTATGCAATACATGGCAATAGTTATTTATGATATTACACATTTTAGAAGTTAAGGCTGCGTACTTGCGTAAATAAGATCTCGAATCTGGCGCATCAGTAGCCTGCGTAGCGGCTCTAGGGGAGAGGGGAAGGGAAAAACGAAAGGGCAGTGGGGTCTGGAGTCTGTATTTTTTCCCTACTTCCCCAACCGCCCTTCTTCTCCGTTATTCTATTTACCCCCTTCCCTAATGGCGCTACGCAGTCTATCGGCGTATCAGCATAAAACGCAAGAATTGTGTATCATGGGTATCATTTTTAAGACAATACAATTTATTACCTTAAAAATAATTGCTCAATGTCTTTCTCTTATTTTAGGTCCTCAGTTTAGATCCAGAAAGCAAGC